TATGGCACAATTCAAAGCTACTTGTGAAAATACAGGAGGCAATGATGCTATGTTACTACAACAATTTATTAGTAGTTTAACATGTACAACTTTTGAATGGTATACTGAGTTACCCAATGACTCAGTAAGAACATTCGCCAAAGTAGAGACAATGTTCATTAAAAGATTCGCCAGTGCAACAAAGAAGGTGATTATTGCTGGTCTTGCTCTTGAGAAAAAGAAAAGAGAGGAATCAATCACCAAGTATATAACCAAGTGGAGAAATCTCAACATGAAATGTGAGCAACAACTCACTGAGAAGCATGTTGTTGAGCTATTACTAGAAAACATAGATGATTATATGGTTTCATATCTGGCGATGGCTACAATCAATACATTTCAGGAGTTACTTGATCGTGTAGCTAAATTTGAAAGGTTACACAGGCCTAGAAGTGTTGGCTTCAACTATAAAATAATCTACCAGGGAAAGAAAAACAGATAAAGAAATATGATCCAAAAAGAAGTGAGGTAAATACCACATTCCCGTGTCCTCGGATAAGAAAGAAAAAGAATATTCAATGAATCTACCGAAGACGTTGAAACAAACAAGAGAAAGACAAAAGCCTCCTACCTTGCAGGAGAAAATTAATAAGTTGTATTCCTTCAAAAATGAGTGTACGGGAAAGATTTTTAGACAAGCACTAAAAATCGGTCTTCAATTGCTAGAATCCCACCGACCAGAACAGGCTGGCATAACAGATGATCCGAATTACTGTCCGTATCATAGGATCATAAGTCGCCCAATCGAAGACTGTTTCATATTCAAATATTGGGTCGAAAGGAATTATCAAAATGGTGAACTTACACTTTCTAATAGTGTCCTTGTCAATCCTAAGAGAGAGAAAACTAATGTTATCTCCTCTACACTCTGTCAAAACACAGAGAATGAAAAAGGGAAAGCACCCCAGAAAGATGAAGGTGGTTGGGAGACCTTTATCTCAAAGAAAACTAAACATATGATGAATGTCCTATTGGCCATTGAAGGCATTCGTCGTAAGAGTGCGTTAGAATTGGAAGTTGATCCAAGACTCATTTCTTCAAAGAACCTAGCGGCATGGGGCCCAGTTCAAGAAAGAAGAAACCTTTGAAATATTTCAAAGATTAAAAAGGAAAGAGTAAGCCTAGATCAAAATATCAAAAAGAAAAGAAGATAGAAGTTAATAAGGCAGAAAATTGTGATTCAAAAATACATCGACTCCATCGATGAATATCAGCAACCTCTAAGGCGTCCTGTAAAGTTAGAGGAATATATGGCTGATTTATTTCTTGACTCAGAGTCAGAAAAAGAAGAGAGCATTCCAATAGAGACTTGCCGAGTCATAAATCAACGAGGTGAAAGGGCTGCAAGAGGACGCAATGCATCTCTTGCTATCTATAAAGCTGACGTAAAAATTTCTACTAAGGAAATACATCGTACACCAGCACCTTTCATTGATCAGATGAAGAATTATATTTTTCCGATGAAGAAAGTGATCACAAGGGAAAGAATGGCGAACCCTAGATGTCCAACGATCAAGGGGTCGAAGGAGCAGATTCGAACGAAAATGACAGAGTCGGAGGGGCGACGTCGAACAGCAACGAGGGAGACGGAGTCGAACAGCAACGAGGGAGACGGAGTCGAACAGCAACAAGGATCGGAAGGAGGCGTAAGTTTCTTTTTTTTCGTTTCTTCCCCCCTTTTATCGCTTTGGATGGTCGGTAGGTAGTTATCGTGCGAAGCGATGCTCTGCTTGAGAATAACCGTGTGTGTGGGATCGGACTGAAAGAGGCATCGTAAGAGTGTATCTGATCGATTATTTCTTCTTTTTTTTCTCTATTTCTCCTTTTTTTTTTGTCAACAGCAGCCCGTTTGTTTAATTGACAGGACTTATGGCCCCCTTAGAAGTTGCTTGGTAATTTATAGGACTTATTACTTCTCTTTTGAAGTAGTCTAATTGTTTGTGTTTAGGGTAGAAAAGACTTTACCCCTAAGTACTTTAATTTGTAGTTGTTTGCTAGCTTGAAACTAAGCCTTTAGTTTTCAATTGTTCACTAGTCTGACACTAGCTTTTTTGCTACAGTAGTTTCTCTTCTTGCTTTAGCAGTTCAGTACTTTACTCTGCTTTTCTTGCACTCTAGTTTTCAATAACTTGCTTTTCTTTCTTGCACCAATGCCCTGCTTTACTTTATTTATCGTATTTTATTTTCTTATACAAGTACCTTGCTTTACTTTCTATACCGTACTTTACTTTCTTGTACTAGTACCTTGATCTTTTTTTTCAGTATCGTGTTTAGTGTAGCACTTGTTCTTTTCTTGCCTTAGCAATATAATTTCAATGTTAAAGAGCTTTATTTGCTTGTTTGCGAGAGCTCGTGTTGTTTCGGAGTTCGCACAGGAGAGACTTTGGAGAACATGGATGAGCAATGGAGAGCTTGCAAAAGAGCATTGGACTGTGATTTCAGTGTAGCTTGTACTTTAAGGTTGATTAGTGAAAAAACATTTGTTTCCACATTTCAAAGAAACTTCTCATCATAGTGGCTCTCTCCATATTAATTGATTAATTAATTTAATTAATTAAATAAATTTTTAATTTTAATCAACCAATTAATCAATTTAAATTTCATTGCTCTCAAATTTTAACTGCTCTCGGATTTTTAAATGCTCTTGGATTAACTAATTAATCAATCAATTAATTAATTTTAATTAACCAACTAATTTTAATTAATTCATAATAATTAATCAATTAATTTTAATTAACCAATTTTAATTAATCATTTAGTTTTAATTAATCATTTAATTTTAATTAATTAATTTCAATTAATCAAATAATTAGTTAATTTCAACTAAATGTTAATTAACTTAATAAATTAGTTAACATTTAATTATGAATTAACTTTTTTTTCATAATTAATCATTTAATTAAGTTAATCAATCACTCTCTAATTTTAATGAATTTTTTAGGCAATTTCGACAGCCTCTTGATATCCCCTCCCCGCGGGGAGGTCGGGATAGCACTTGTCGTTGATGTCTTCCCCACTGTATCTGATCGACAGCACGAGGTCTTAAGTTTGAAACTATACCGACCGAATCTAAGATTGATGGCATGAGGTCTTAGATTTGGAATTTATCCCGGCTGGATCTAAGATCGACGGCACGAGAGCTTCGATATTAGGATACATGTATGCTATAAAATTTAATTACACCAATTTTTATTTCAATTATTTACACTGTCTAGGGTAGTCATTGGTGTGCGAACTAGGGCAAATATAGACAGTAATTTGTGGAAACAAATCAAGCAAGTAACCCTATTTCCTTTAAGTGGTTTGTATTAACTACATGAATTTGGAATAAAACAAGGCAATAGTAAGGGATTACACATGAAGCAGAGAAAGTAACCGCACAGACTCTCGTGATTTAAAGGTTCGGACAGGATTATAGCAAGAGACGAATCGAGCAGTACAGGCGGAAGAAGCATGGCTCACACGAGTGAAGGTGAATGATAGGTTGCGGCTCACACGAGAGGTAGAGGTAGCGGGAGTGGGTTGAGGCAGATGGTGGATTTCCTCATGGGAGATGGGTTGTGAGGGATCCAATCATAGGAGGAGATATGCGGACGGCGTGTCTGGAGCGGGATTGAAGAATTCACGCGAAAGGGGTCACGCGGGAATAAGCGGACGGCGGGTTCCGGCTTGGATTGCCCGCTCGGTTGTGCGGGAGGGATTTTGGAATTGAAATGAGCGTAAGTTCCTTTGTTCGATTTTTCTTGCCTTATAATTGATTGCTTTTCTGAATGGGAATCTAGGGAATGAAGAGTTGCATCCTTTGGTCATCAACTACATGAGGTGGGGTCGGCTTGATGATGATTTCGTGAAGAAATGCTTTCATTCATTTCCTTTTCTTCTTTCTTTTTCTTTTATCATTTTAAATCAATCAACTTTAAGGGTTTCCATGCCTGCGAGTTCTACAAAATCAAAGTTTATTGTCAACAAAGAATGCAAAAAATCTGCATTACATCAAGCATTTTAAATTGTAATCAATTAGTTAGAGATATGTTTTTGCATGCCTCTGATCGATGTACTTTCTATGGCGGGCTTTGGGACCACCATTCAATTCCTAACATATTCTACCCGAGGTGGTTCTCTATAACGCTACTGCCACATAAAGAAATTGTACTGGTATTTCATAGGCCAACAAGAAAGGGTCAAATTTAGGCTACAAAAGAACTAGATTGAATAAATTTTAAAATTCTTTTAGGCCTATTTTTATTTTTGGCCAAACTTTGTATTTTTTTATTTTTTTAAATGCAATGAAGACAAGGATAATTTCATCCTTATTTTAAGCAATTAGGATTAGGATAATTTTGTCCTATCCTTTGGGTTTATTTTACTTATAAATAGGGTTGGTTGTTTGAATTTTTTGAAAAATTATTGATAAATGAAATTGGTTGCTCTTTTCTATTCATCTAATGTAGATAGTTGCTTCTAATTGTGTATATTAGTCACTCCAAGCTATGCACGCAAAGTAAGTTGTTTCTCCCATCTGCAAATTGTGTGTACAGAGATTCCTTCTTGTTTCTCTTATCTTGTATTTCACTTCTTATCATTATTTCACCATCTCCAAGTCGTGTGTGCAGAGATTCCTTTTTGTTCCTCTTATCTTGTATTTTAATTCTTATCATTATTACATTTACGACAATTAACTTCCATTTTTCCATCATATATCTCTCCACATCAATTGATCAGTGAAGATATTAAATGCATTCTTAAAAGATTTAACTGGATCAAAACTTTGGGGTATGGATCAAATGCTGAGCACTTTATTTCCTAAGTAGGAAAACACAAACATAATCATAATAAAACAAAGTGTGTGACAAGATCCTTTCTTCACTTTGAATATGGAATAAGATTTGAACTCCAGCGATGTTAATTTAGTCAAGAAAGTGGAACTACCAATTTGATGTTCAGGAAGTCAGGGGACATACACTATAAGAAAATTCAAAATCTTTAGTTGACCAATTTTCTGCATCAGCCTCGTACAAGAACGAGAATCTCCCTACATGCCGACTCTTTTCCTAAAAAATGATGAACAATAATCGCATCAGAATAAAGGTATTTGGTTTATATCTGTGAACAAAATGTAGAAGCATTCACCTTTAAAGCATGGGTTAATTCATGGAAAATAACTTCCTTTTCAGTGCCAGTATTCACATTTAACTGTATCTTCTCTTGTTTCTCAGCCATTCTAGTAAATGGAGTAACATATTCAGGAAAAGTAAAAGGCATTCTAAATGAAAAATGGCCATCCTTGTATAGCAATTTTTGAGACCAGCTGATATAAATAGATATCTCACATCCACCATCAACCTTCAGAGCAAAAGGAGTTCCAATTAGATTGGAATAACTCAAAATCTCAGAAAAAAAATCATCACAAATGCAGGAAGGCAGCCAACTTACCTGAGGAATCATCAACGAGAAAATAGTGGGTTTCAGGAAGCCTTTATGTTCATTCTTTATGAATTTCTCCTTGTTCTGATCAACTTCTCTATGAACCACCTGAGTAAAGTATGATCTCCTAGCAAAATTTACCTCAACACCTAGAATTGAACCCTGTTAGCCAAACCATGTACAGCTTGAGAACAACCAATAGGCTCTTCAAAAATTATAAACTAAAGGACTCAACTCGGCAAAAAACTTTGAGAAAAAATGTGTTTTAAAGCATATTAGGTTATAAATATTCCTGAAAGCAAAACACAGAAAATTCTTCAAACAAACACAGATATTTATAGATTGCATTTAAAATTCAGAACAATAGGAAGATTATTTAGTAAGATTAGATTCTCTTCAAATAATATTCAAGATAACAAAATGCTTCAACTAAATGAAAATGATAAAGAAAGAATATGAGCTAAATCTTTTGAATGTCAGTTTTAACAATAGAGTTGAATAAAAAGATAGGATTGTTTGTTTCACCAACATTTGTAATATAATGTTGTCATTAGAAAATATTAGTTGTCTGATTCAGCGGCATATTCAAATAAAATTTTGAAAATAATGTATTATATTTCAGAGTTATGTAGATGTCAGCATAATAAGAAGTTTAATATTCTGACTTGTTATATATATATATATATATATATATATATATA